CTTTTTTTTTTCTGTCTAAATTAGTTAATGGCATGGGGTTCTAGATCATTGTAGGAATACCTCAATACCCCAATAAGATAGCTCTGGATCAATGAGGCCTTTGGGCTGTGGCAGTGTTGTCTCTGTTTGAGTGTAATTTTGTTTACAATTTATTAGTATCATATGGCATGTCTGAATATAGAGCTAACCTTAATTATCACAATAAGTTTAATCACTTGGCATTCTTTTACTATTTGATGTGGTTTAATCAATTCACCATATTCCATTAGAACAAGCCGATGATAACTGGACTTGGTCCTGGTTCCAGTCATGGGTAGGAGAAGCCCGAGTCTGACCGGGTTAAATCCGGGTATGGGTCAGTTCTGGGTACCTAGGTGGTCTGGTCCCGGTCCAAATCCGGTCATTTCTTTTTTGCTTTTCGCTCGTTTCCAAGGCATAAAAAAATGGCCGGTTTGAGATTGAGGCTGGCTGGTTTAGTACCCAAATAGGTGAACTTTGGACCGGGTACCATTCTTGGGCGGACAAGGGCGGTCCCAGGCCCAAAACCAGAATTCCTGACCCGATTTGATCCCTAATTCCCTATCAGTGCCTGACCTGATTCCAGACCAAGCCGTTCTGTCGAATTGGGTCCACCCCTATTTTGACCTATTTTTAATAAACATGTTGAAATTTTTTTAAGCAATTGAGTGTTTTGATGATGTTACCGTTTTTTTATTTGGGTTTGGGTTGAGCTGTTAAGGTAGACATGCTGACATGGTCTTGGACTCGTATGTAGACTCGAACTGGCTGGCTCTTGTCATGAAAAAGGGAGAGCCGAATCCATAATGGGTCTCGGTCGTTTTTTATTTGGTTTTGGTTTCTTGTTCGATAATACAAAAAACTAACCAGAATATATTGGTTTGGTCTCTGGACCTGTCCAGTCTTGCTCGGTTGCAGAGCAAAAGTCTGGATCTATCCTTAGCGCTAAATATATAGAAGTGAGAATCTGAACCTGAATTGTGGTGGGGAGAGGGGTTTGAAACAAAATTTTGTCCACAGTTGATGCAATAAGTTTATTCTTGGGTTATCATAATGATATTTTTGATACTCCACTAGATCAATCCTTCACACTGGTACAGCCATGCATGCATACACCAACTATTACTCTTAGTAATAGTTAACAACTCTACAGTTCCTACGTATCTCACCACCACCTCCTTGGGCCGGTGCCAGCCTTCCCATCTTCACCATTGAGCTCTTAAAGTTCTCAAAGAACAAATTAGGATCATCTATGTATGACTCAACTATGCCACGTGTTTCATCGTCGCTGTTGACCAGCACTTGGTCTGATGTTAGCAAGCTTGTACCGGAAAGCAGGTTAACGTAGTACTGGTTGTCAAACGTTGCTGGAGTCATGGCATCGAGATCAGCCAATGTGGCATTGACGTCTTGCGCTGAGCATAGCTGTTGAAGTGACTGAAGAAACTCGACATTGACATCAGGTGTGCCTCCACCAGTGTTGAACCTGGAGTTGAATGTGAAACACCTCGCCTTCCCTAGTGTATGTGCCCCTGCTCCATCATAGATGAATATATGCAAGCATAACCTTATTGTGCATAAAATGCAAATCATTCTCATTTTTGTTCCTTGGCTCATTTTATGAGAATGCACTCGGGTAGAAAAAGTGATGGAAAAGTAGATAACAATTGCAAGAAATCTATAACTGGGCACCTAAACTAGAAGGACATGGCAAGTTCAACTTTAGTATATGATCTTTTTTTGGAAGCTGTTGAAAGATATGAAGATAAGAAAAGTGTGGGTGGGTCATTACCAGATAAAGTAACCATGTCTAGTAGGGAGAGGCCAAGGTTTTGGAACTTGGACACTAAGGTTGGAACATCAGAATTGGGTCCAGGAATGTTGTTGTTAGCTCCTGCTTGGCTGGCACTAATGCTGTCTTTCCTTCCCATCTCCACTTCCCAAGCTGGACCGCCCGCCTGATGATCAACATTTTTAATTAGTGTCACCCCAACATTGTTCACACTCATCATGAAAGCAAATACTCATGGTTCAGCATTTAATAATCAATGCAAATGATGCATTTATGGAAAAAAAATGGAAAAGAATATATTTTATATATTTTACCAAAAGGACAGCATCACGGGCAGAAATGGCAAGAAGATCAGCACAAGAAACTGTTTGAGGACAAACAGACTCAAGATCAGTCTTTATTGAATCTATCAACTCAAACCCCCTCAAAGAGTTCAAGTTCGGTCCCGCAGTTTTCTCTCCGACCATGTTCGGCGTGTCGTCTAGCAACACCGATGCATCACACCCCTGCGTAATCAAGAACAATGTGTCAATGGAAGTTTCATTGGATAATGTATGCGACCGTCCCGTTTACTAATATTTTTTAGATTACCCTCATTAAGTAGCATTTGACTTGCTTATTTGGTTGAAATAGATTTTATCCAATGTTTTCCCTTAACTTACCAAGTTCAACCATTACATCCTTATAACACTTACCAAACAAGTATGTTCACATTATGTTTAGTGTACTCAAAACAATGTTCTAAACAGTATAATGCATGGAAATTAAAGTGGGAAACATGGAGAGACTTGAAATGAAAACCTCATATTTTAATTGAAAAGAAAGCGTTTGTACAGTTTCTAAATAGTTTCTGTAGAGTTTTCTTACTGAAAACGCACTCCCCATGCTTCATAGGGTTTAATATATTTTGAGAATAAAAAGGTCTAGAAAAATACACGCGTTTCTAATTTACAACTAACAAATTGAAATGAATTTGTAAAATGTGTATCCCCTTGTGTAATCCCGAGCCAAACAAGCACTAAGGGAGATGCAAAATGTGTTTAAGAAATTAAAACAAAAGGAAAGATGGGGGCATGCATTGACAAAGCAGTCATGGAAATGAAGTCGGAGCAAAGAGGCAGCCATTCTTGGGTCGTCGTAAACCGCCCTCTCGACCCAAGAGTACACGATGGCCTCTGCCTCCGGGCAGCTGTCCCGGTACAAACCGAAGCTCAACATGAATGTGGCAGTGCCATCAAAGCAAGTCTCATTTAGTGTGTTTGGAGTTGGCTTCACTGCCCAAACATTCATTATCATTAACCACAAGATATGAAAGTAAATCCCCATCTTTTTTCTTCTTTCTTTTCTTGACTTGTTGATATGTATGGCTTAAAATGTGAAGCCTTCTAGGAGTGAAGCTGGTTCTTATATAGATAGACAGACATGTGTTGTTGCTAAGATTCAGTCAAGCTCTGATCAATAATGACTTAACATTGCATACAAAGCCTATGTCATAGACTCATGGGATAAGACAAGGTCTTGAAAAGTCAAACAGATGACCAGGGAAATAAGAGTCCTTGTGTACAGGCTTTTTGGGGACCAGATGGATGGAGGGGAGCACCAAACACTTTCCAGTTCATAGGATCAACTGTTCTAATTATGATCAATTCCTAATGTAGACATTTTTTAACAGTGCGATTCCAGTCCTAGAATTAAAAGCACATGAGCACATTCACTCCTACCGTTAATCATATTGATGTCCTCAAAACATATATTCAGTGTACATTTAAATATGTTTTTTCCTTGATTTTTTTTTTTGCCAAAAACAACTTAACTAGCATTTATCAAATCATGATGGTACATGGGCAATTTTGTATGCAGAACACCTGACATGAGAGAAGGAAATGCTAGCCGAGATGCCCTTGAATATTATTATTGAATTAAAAGAATTCTCAAAGTTATACCGTGGGTCACCATTTTTGGCAAAATCCTTAATTAAGGAATCAATTGTGAAATAAAAGCTCTATTCTAAAAAACCTGTCTTTTTTCCCACCACCTAAAGAAACTTTTTTATTCGCAAGGAGCAATCTATTTAGAAATTTATTATTATTATTATTATTATTATTATTATTATTATTATTGTTATTATTATTATTATTATTATTATTTGTTGTTGTTGTTACTACTACTAGTGTTGTTATTACAAAGTACATTTTAGAAGCCATACCAAATTTTTGTGTTATAGGAATGGAGCTCGTGGTCCTAAGTAGGGGTTTTCAATACTCTGTGGTTATCCAAAATAGATACCCTAACGGCCGGTTATGCAATTTTATGCATTACCAAATTAAAGTAGGGGTTTTCAATACTCGGTGTGGTCTGTATAAGTCTGATGTAGACTGATCTGAACTAGTCAGGTAGATGTCTGGTCTATGTGTATTTTACAACTACTAAAATCTGGTCGGGTCTATCGTGGAGCTGAAATAAATACAAGTGAAACATTTTTACCATTACCGGTTCTACTCGAACTATTGTCTTTAGTGGGTTAACAATTGATCAATCCAAAACTAGAACCAAACCATGGGCGGCCAATCCCAACTTTAGTTTGGTTCCCAGTCCCCCACCCTCCTACCTCCGGGGACCAACATTTCCAGGTAAGGTCCGGTTCTGGTCCTGTTTTAATCCTTGACAACTTTGTCAAGGTCACAGAACATTGCCCTGGTCCACGAATTTTTTTTGTCACGGATGAAACCCCTGAACAAAATCCGTGACAAACTACCGCTGGTACACCAAAAAAAAATTCCAACGGGCCGTTTTCGTCGCCGGAATTTTGTCACTGATGTCGGTCCATGACAAAATTTGAAATCCGCCAGTACTATACCATGGTTATGTCAGCTTGGGCTAGGCTTTACCAATTCTGATCTGGTCCAATTGTCCAAAGCATTCTGGTTTCAGTGTGGCCACAAACTTCCAGAAACCAGAATCTAGACTGTTATGCAGAATATCACCCCATGACATCTCAAATGTTAGCCCGGGCCCGGAACCAATCCTAGCATGTGAAGTGTTATGAATGTTTCAAACTATAACAACTATTCACCTAACCCCATGTGCTTCACAAACAGACACAGTTTGTTAGAGTGACCTATTACTTTTGCAGCTGCTGATTTTTCTTCACTTGAAGACCAAGCAATACTTGCAATATTTCCATCTCCACATGATTTTACCTCGTATGAATCACATAATATTACACAGAACAAAAAATATAACATTTATTGCTATCTCTGAAGGCCCAGAACTCACAACGTTAGCTATTTAATAGCGTCTCCAGACACAAAACCGTAGAGCCAAACAAATCATGAACTCATTACACTTTCTTCTGCAAAAACAATTTAACTCATAACTTACTGGCTAATTAGTTCATAAAGAAAGGGAACATGAAGGATATAAAAGAAAAACGAAAGGGGTTCATCATTCTAGGGGATCCACACTGGCATCTGTATCAACAAAGTTGTGGTAGTGAGTCTCATATGCATAATCACTATCGAGGTTCTCCATCGTTTTGCCGAACTTGAAATGTTTGGTTCCCATGGTGGTGAATGGCAGAAGACCAAAAGCTCGTGCAGTCTTTATTTCCCTGGCAACTTTCCTTTGGGCTGTGGCACTTATTCCTGTCTATATATATAATAATCAATAACACAACAAAGAGGGTTGAGAGGTTATCAGAGGATGGACTTCTCATTCATAACACTCACTTCGATATAAATAAATCTGACTAAAAACTTAATGACTTTTCATTTGTTTACCTTGCTCCTCTTGATGATAATTCCAGCATCTGTGATGAAATTGGCAAGAAACCCGACGTTCTGAACATAATTAAGAGGGTTAATAGTTTTGGCACTTTCATAGTGAAAGAGAACTTATCAAGTGTTATAAAGCCAAATTTATCAATATGTATAATTAATTATGAGCAGGATAAAAGCTAACTTATCCAGTGTTATAAAACCATTTTTATCAATCTGTATAATTTATTATTAGCAGGATAAAAGCTCAATTTTATCATAAGGTGACAAAACACTGACAACAGCTTGAAGATGGAATAAAATCAAAATAAGAGATTGAAACATGCGAGATACTACCAGACTAGAAAACATAAAAGGCAAACTAAAACAAAGCAGAACTAACACTCACTCTGAAATCAGCTTTCTCCAAGACTTCTCGTGTTGTTGTTTGAAACGATGGCCTTTTCCATGACTTTTGTACTCCTGGTTTTCTAAGATCAAGGTCCTGAATTGAGCAATGAAAAAAGATGTCATAAATGTGACCAACGAAGAATTACTGTCCATTGAAATGACATAACCTATTGCAAATTCTACACAGAAAATGTAACATCAATATGTCATGTGCTACCTTGATATCGTAAGTACTTCCAGGGAAAAAAGTGATGTCCTTTCGGAAGGAATAATCATCTTTCTCAACTTCATCAGGATCAAACTCAAAATACGCAGCGGCCTGCTTCAACTTACTTTCCATTCCATCACACAATGTGTTAATGCCTTCATCCAGACCGTCAAATGCTGAACTATTTCCAGAATTGAAATGGGATCCCTGGAAAGATCTTTCAGCCCTATCAAGTTTTTGGTAAAATGCTTTATGTTCAGGTGTTTTCCCAGTAGTGTCACCAAAAGGTCGTTGCTCAGAGTAATTTCCAAACTCTGATGAGTTTTGATTAAACCTTTTACTATCTGGACCAAGAAGAAAAAGAAAAATATAAAGAATACTGATAGAAAAATGAGATTATAAATAAAGACCTAAAAACAGTACAAACCAAATCCTGTATTCGTGGAATCGTCAAATGGCAGTTGCTCAGAGTAATTGGAAGATCTAAATGGGCTTTGATTAAGCTTGGCATTACCTGTACAAAAAATGAAGCACATTTATAATCATTATAAAGGAACATGCGATTAATCAAGACCTCAACAAAAAAGGAACATAAATACAAACCATATCCAATATTAGAAGAATTATGATCTATCAAAACCCTATCACGGTTATGGTAAAAGGGTTTATCTATGAAGCACAAAAACAATCGGTAATTGGCACATTTTCATTTCGGTCTTTAGAAACTCTCCAAACACTTGTTTTTCTATTAGAAGATGATATTTCCGTTTTCATGTTTCCCCATGTTTCTCACGTTTCCGTGCAACATATAGGGATTTATAGCTTGGTGCTTTCCCGGTCCCACAAGCCTTTCTCTGAGTAAGTGGGGGGCTCTAATGGGCTTTGATTATGATTTTTATTATCAGTTCCAAGAAACATGAAATTCATGAAGACCTCAACAAAATATAACCAAAACAGTATAAGAAGTCATTACAAACCATATCCCATATTTGAAGGTGTGTTGTCTCTCTGAGCCCAACTAGAGTGTTGGTAAAAGGGTCCAAAAGTTGGTGATTTCCTAGAAGTGTCACCAAAAGGTCGTTGCTCAGAGTGATCAGCAGACTCAAATGAGCTTTGATTCAGGTTGTTATTATCTGTAACAGGAAACAAGATATATTTATCACCCCGAATATAGAAACATGAGGTTGTTATAGTATAGACCTCAACTAAAATTCAGTACAAACCAAATGCCGGATTCGTAGAAAAGGTCCTGATTACTTGAGGACTACACAGCTTACGAGAAACCCCGGTATCGACATATAACAAAATGCCCTGAATAAATCTCATCCTGCAATTTACCATGTGTCAAAATAGATGAATTCATTGTTATCTTATTCTCAACATGCTCAAAATGCATACAAAGCCTCTGGGTAGAAGCCGTAGAACTGTAGAAATTATTATAAATTCGGATTTTAACAGAATCTACAGATTCTATCATATTAAAACAGATTTTACAGAATCTATCAAATTCTACCATAGACTTGTGTGATTTTAATGGATTATGATAAATTTTTTAGTTGCCCTCAAATATAACTTTATGATCAACAAAATAATAAATATTTAATCACTCAAATGAAGTCATTAACCAAATAACAAAATCTATGGATAGATATGTCAGCAATTTATCTAGGAACAATGTTTTATGACATCCCAATCGGGCAGATTGCACACACTTAGGGGGCGTTTGGTTCTTTGCACATTAAAACTTTACACGCAAAATGATTACATGTAAAGTGTAGGGTGGTGATTAGAATGCATGTAAAATAGAAATATATCATTTGGTTATGTGTGCAATCTGTTTTTTTTTGCATTGTTTGTTTGGGAATAACATCACACGTAAAACATACATAGTATCAAACGTGTTAAGAGAACGACGTGCAATCTGCTCTTACTCTTTAATCCACTTTCTCAAATAAAGTCGGAACATAATTTGATAATCTCTTTGAAAAATAAATTCCACAAATTACACAAAACATCTCAAATAAACATGCCAATTAACTAAAAACAGAAGCACAAACGTACCTCTTGCAATACGGAGAGCAGGGCAACGCAATCAAGGAGATATTATGAGATATGGTTTACGATTTTGTGTGTTTATATAGGGGATGAAATTGGTTTATTGCCATCAAAGTTTTTTTGTTTTTGCTGCCACTCTCATAATTTCTAGCGTAGGTATAAATCGTAGAAGTTTACTCCGTATTAAATCGTTAAATATGATAATACTCGGTATTAATTAATGAATGTAAACTAGTTTACTATCCTCCCCCACGTAAACTATTTTACATGGTACAGTGTAAAATGTTTTAAAAAAAAGTGACCTACATTTTACATCAAATAATTAAAACAAACGGTGTAAAATGATTACTCCCCTCCACTTTACAAGCAAAGTGTTTACTTTACATAGTAACAAACGAGCCCTTACTGCGGGGTGTCTTAGGAAATCTATAAAACAGTTGGCCGACAACAACTACATGATAACAAAGGCTTAAGTTGTTAAGCCAATGCCCAATAGTACAGAATTAGTTAATTACGTATATGTGGTACACTGTGAAACACTACTCATATGAAAAAGGAGTTGGTAAAGCAGATAGATTTTCGCTAACTAAATTTAGAAAGACAACCAGAAAATTTTCAATACGTGATTCAAACAGAAAACTAGAAATTATTGTATTGCTTCATTAATTCGAAATTATTTCGTAAGCTTAGAAGCAATACTCGTACCTGCTGAGGCGAGAGAGATTCAGAGAGAAACAGAGATGAAGGAAAGGTGTGCAATATTTATTTCATATATGTGGTTTGACAATTCCAGTTAAGCCAGTTCAAATACATTAAAGTAGAAAATTAATAAAATCTGCGGAATGTTTGAGGATGCTGGACTTGAATAAAAAACAGAGCAACAGCCAGGGGCGGACCGTAGTACAGACCCAGGGGGGCTGCCGCCCCCCCAATAATTTTTTTTAATATATATATACAAAATTTTTATTTTTACCCCCCCAAACATTTAATTCTCGCCCCTCCAAGAAAAATTTTGAACCCCCCCAAAAAATATTTTCTCCCCCAAAGCATAGCCCACTCGCAGAAACCCAATTGTTTAAGAGCCTAAAAAAATAGAAATTTTACAAGTAAAATTATATCAACTCACTCCAAAATTTATTCCTCATTAACCCACCCCAAAATCTAATCCCAGCCCACCGCCCAGACCAAACTAATGAAAAACATGTGCACCTAGAAGAAAGAAACGGAAAGATCGATTATTTTTAAATGATTGTCTTTATGCCTACTATGTTCATTGCTTAGCACATCAGTTGCAATTAGCATTGGTTGCTGCTTCTAGAGAGGTGAAATATGTGCACAATTTTTTCATCGATTCAGTCTTTATTATTAATGTGACTAATTCTTCTTGCAAACGAAGTGATGAATTAAAGGAAGCTCAAGCACTTGAAATTGCAAGAATGTTGGAAATTGGTGAGCTTGAAACAAGCAGAGGACTTAATTAGGTTGGTACATTACAACAAGCTGGGGAAACTCGTTGGAGCTCACATTTCAATTCTGTTTGCAGTTTGATTATGATGTTTGCTGCAACTTGTTCTGTTTTAGAAGATGTTGAAGAGAATGGCAATAACTATTCTACTCGTGGAAATGCAGCTAGAGAACTTAAGAAGATTAAATCTTTTGATTTTGTTTTCTTGTTGCATCTTATTAAAGAAATTATGGGCATTACAGATCTTCTATGTCAACATATACAGAAGAAGTGCCAAGACATATTAAATGCTATGCATTTGGTGTCAAGCATAGCTTCATTTAATTACTACTCCGTATTATGTTAATGTTATAACTTATAATAATAATCGCCTAGTTTTTTTTGTTTAAATTATCGCCCCCCAATATCAATTTCCTGGGTCCGCCCCTGGCAACAGCATTGATTAATCGCTAGTTACCTGGAGTCCCTAGATCGATTGAGACGCAGCCTGAAGCGACAAAGTGTGGAGCTCGAAGACGCTGAGCGGGGACGGTAAGGTCGTACAGATGAGCCGTGCGGCGGAAGGTCGGTCAGAGTCGTAGGGAAGCAAGGGAAGGGCACTGAAAAACAGTGGTACTGCGGTTGGCGGTGAGTCACAGCGCTGCGCCACTGCAGTCAGAGACGAATAATCTGATTGATTATTTTTGTATAATCCTAAATATATAACTATCCGCAAATAATGGTCCATGGCCATATATTACCTCTATAAAAAGTGAATTTTAAATATAAATTAAGCGTAAAAAAAAGTTGAGATTATTTATAGGGATTACTTGTTATATCTCACCCCATCCACTTTAGAAACTACAAGAATTTATTCATAGATACCATTATTGGCGAAAGGTCCCTAAAGTTGGTATTATTCTGTAATAATCAATATATAGTTGGGATTATTATGAGCGGACTGCCAATAGTTGGGATTATTACTATCAATTTTTCCTTTTTTTTACGCTTTTCTGACAGGATGATCTGATGTGATGAATTTTTTACTTTTGGATTTCCCCTTATAACCTTAGAGGTTTCTACCTGTATACTTCCCGCAAAGAAGTTCCCGGTTTGACCTACACGCATGTTAAGGAAATAAATTTACCAGGGGTAAATGTTACTGTTTTGACATTGTTTCGACACTGTTTGACACTGTTCGACACTGTTTGACACTGTTTTTATGTAGCATAACTTTTCATTTAGGGAAAGTAGAGCTTCTTTTTGGTGGGTTGCTAAAAAAGGAAAATGGGAACTTCTTTGCGGGACGGAGGGAGTATTACGAGAAAAGTGTCAAATGAGTACACGAAATTGTGAGCGGGAGAGTAAAGAGTACATGATTGTGTAAGTGTGACTGAGAGGTACCTTAACTCGGAAAATCAGTGCTAATTTAGTCCACTCGAGGATTAGGGCGGCTAAAACGCTGAGTTCCACAACCCTACCTTGTAAATAAATAACTGCAGCCTTTTGTTTTTTATTAAGATTAAGATAGGATTCCAAGGTCGAAAAGGGCATAAAAGAGTTCGAGCAGGGCATACATTTTGCAGATACACGCTTATGAGGAGTAGCTCTGCTGCTGGCCATACGTGTTAATCCCACGAGAAGGATACATGTCTGAATTGAATGAGAGAGTGGAATCAAAATAAAAATTGGTGAATTAGTAGAATTATTTAAAACAAAACATTAAAATTTTTCCACAAATCTTTATTTCAAAAATAAAAAAGCGCCTACAAACTAAATATATAGTCATTTGATTTAAGGTTGTCAAACCCCAAATTGGAAAAATGAAAGACCAAATCATTGGTTTTGAAATTTTGTTATTTCAAGTGAACAGTATGGTGATTTAAAATTCCCCTGTTTCAGGAGTGGAGCTAATAGTTTGACCATGATTTTTTTAATATGTCCATCTATGAATTATGTTTCCATGTAGCATGTTTAGTTTTATGTGTGCATTGTGATGTAGTTGTTAGATAAGTTGGTTAACTTTGAATGCTTTTGGTTTGATTGTTTTTTCTAGCTCTATGTATGATCGAGTATCTCATTCTGCTACTAACTTACATACTTAATGTGCGAATTAAGTTTTAAGTTTCACTACCAACTTTATCTTGATGCTTTAAAATTTGAAAACAATTTTGAGAAAATCATTTTATGGTGGAAGTCCCGATTCATTATCAGGGATCAGAAGATGGGGAGTTGAATGGAAACACTGATGAGGTCATGAGATTAGTTGTGTTACAAGATATGCTCGAATTTCTCATCAAATTTACAATACAATTGATGATTACGTCAAGCTGAGGGATGCAATTAATCAACTTGTGCATGAAGGGTTCACTTGCAAGGCCCTTTTCTACCTAGCTAGTAAGAGAAATTGATCAGCCGTTTATTATAGCTTAACTTTTGGAATATGCTCTGCACTACAAGTAGCAGGCAACAGACACTTGGCCAACAGTAGAAAAAGTCTGATCAACAGTGGAAAAATTGTCTTGCAGTGAGAAGAACAATAAATTATGTTTGTAATCATTCTATTGTTTATTTATTCGATCGACGACTATCCTCATACACAACAAAGACAGCCCAAGTCTAAAACGATAAGCTAATCCCAACTACATCAAGCTGGGAACAATCTGGGCATCACAAAGGCCACACCCTCCACCGGGTAAAACTGGGGCCAGGTATATAATCAGGGATGATGAACTTTTACAAGCTACAAACTTTATGTTCTACACTGCTTTCTAAGTTTCTAACCTTGGTTCATTGGTTCAGGTGGAGCGGCACTTAAATGTGGAGTTTAGATATAAAAAAAAGTGTTTTGTACTTATTTTTGTATTTGAGCACTATGATATGTAATATGAGATGACTCACAATGTGAATCTTCACTATTATGTTCTTTGAAGTTCTACATTCATTATAATATACACTATATTGTGTTATAGATACATCAATATTCTCAAACTGAATGTGAAATTATTTTATGATATAAAAATCATTTATAAATCTTGTTTACCAAATGTGAATTTAGTTATCAGTCATGCACTCAACAAGAATATTTTTTATTTAATATTTCCTTTTGTTGTATACCTCAGTGAATATTTTTTTCTTGAGATGTGAATAGTGAAAAGTCAAGCAAGTGCTTTTTTAGCAACACACTTATCTCACCATACAAATCGCTGATCGCTGATGTTGAAATAAGTTTTTTTTTGGAGGAATTCGGCTTATATTAATAACCAATAAGTTTTCAGACTATGGGTCAAAAGACAGAAAGAAATCTGACAACCGTTATCCCTCGAATCAGACTCTGAATTAATCGCCGCAACAATAAAATCCGTTGATCCATAATTGGGAAACATACAGCCAGAAACGGTCACCCTATTCCTCTCAATCCCCAAATCCAAAATCAACGTCTTACAAACAGGAACAATCAAGAAAAAGCAAATAACAAAACAAACATAAAAATTACTGGAAAAACAAACAAAGCAAATAAGACAAGTCTTCTTTAAAACCCTAGATTTGCTTGCACTCCATGGCGGCGGCTCAGGAGGGGGACGCGCCCGCCGCTCATCCGCCACAACCTCAACATCAGACATGTCCCCGAAGCTTTCCATGCAAAATTGTTGCTTGAACCTTCTGTCAGCCCCTTGCCGCAGCTCGAGGCTCCTTCAATCCAGCCGCCTCGAATCAGCCGCCGCTCGTCTCATCACCATATCCATCGAACCAGACCTTCTTTGCGATCGAAACCCGCGATCGGAGACCCGAGGAACCCGGACAACGTCTTCGACAATAGACAACATCTTCCAAACAATCCAAAGAGACATCCAACGAATAAAGGACTCGGAGAAACGACAGAGAGCTGTCTCCGGACAAACCCTAGACCGACCTAGGCGGCTTGAAATAAGATTAAGCATTGAGAAAAAGTTGTAGCGATTGGACGAAGATCACAGCAACAGTTATGTTTATACTTCCCATTGCATCACCAAACAGGGTCAATGTAAAATTCAAAAACAAGAAATCTATTCATTGCTATCGTACATAATTTATTCCATGTTTTATGGGTAATTTTTATGTTTATGGAAACTATAATTAGAAAATAATTTGTTGCAAGTTTTACGGGCTATAACTGAAGATCACATTTGTGAACTTTAGATTTAATTAAATTGAATTTTAAATGTTGGTGTTTTAAAGTCCATTATGGATTTGGCCTTTGCCTGCTCCTAGCTTTCAATGTCTAATATCACAGATATAGTAGCTGCAATCGTTCCGTCCATTCAAATTTTTGAAAAAATTTATTTATGTGAGGTGATTTTTTCATAATGCAGACACGCTAAAATTACAAAAAACTAGCCATGCTAAATTTGGTATATGTTAGAATGCTATAATTTATTGTGTTATTCTCTTGACAAGAGTGCATTTTTATGGATTATTGATAAACCTAATAAGTATCACATAGTATGTTACTTATATAGAGTAATATTTGTAACCAATTAATTCATTTGTTATCCCGGTCAAAGACTAGTTTTCAATTCAGATACTTCGTAAAAAAATAGAGGCCGTGAATAGGAATATAGGATTTAAGGTGTTTGGAACTCATTTGGCTTCTGCTTATTTTTTAAAAGCACAATCAAAATTAGAATCAGAATCAGTTTCAGAAGCTGGTCTCACCCAATTTCTAAAAAAAACTTATTCTAGAAGTAAATTAGAGCACCAGAATCACTTGTGCACCTTCAACGAAACAATTCAACTTTAACCATCAGATCCAAACACCCTTTTAGAAAAAAATTGAATTAGTCCTGGGCAAAAAAAGTCTGGCCCCGTGCAGAACCGGCGCAAAAATAAGAAGCGCAGTAGCCAGCAGAGTCGGATGATTTGGACGCACGCCGCAGACCACTGGCCACTGCTCGTCTGCTCTCATCGCCGGACGCCGCAGATCGCCCGCTCTGCCGCTCGCATCGCCGGAGGCCGCACGCCCCCCTTCTGCTGCTCGCCTGCTCCTGTTCATATGCTAGTCTGCGCAGCAACGCTGCTTCTCTCGAGTGTCCACACAGCCACACAGGTAAGGTGTTATCATTTTTAGGTTTTTTTTTTATAAATTTTATATGAATTTAGGTATTTTATTGTTATTTTAGTTTGTGTTAGTCACTTAGTGCGTCCCAATTCATTTGTGTGCTTTGAATTGTGAATTGGAAATATGAAAATTAGGAATGCCATGAAACACTTGAAGAATGAAATTCGTAACAAGATGAATGATGATTTCTTGCCGATCGTTTGACCATCTTTATTGAAAAGGAATTTGCCAACAAAATCGACTTTGAGTCTGTCATAGATGAGTTTGCTAAGGTAAAAAAAAGTAGTGTTCCGTTAATGTTTTAGTTTCAAATATTGTAGCCTTGTAGGTACTGTTTAAAAATATTATTATAAATTTTAATGGATTTTATTCATTATGTTCAATTGTTCACACTATTTACACTTAAAAATTTTATATAGTGTTTTTAGTTTAAAGTCGCCCCCCTGAACATCCGTCCTGGCTACGCCCCTGTTGTTATGTCAAACTTGTTAAAACTTTTTGTGTAATTAAAACTTGTTATTATGTACTTAATTTGTTGTTATTTTGTAATTAGTCTAATCACACATATGTAACATAGTACATTGCCCATTCATAACTTTGACTCTGCAGCTTGTTTCCTCAC